TAATTATAATCAGCCACAAATCACAATGTTTGCGTGAAATTATAAACACTTGTTATTAAGAGCGAAAAAATACCTCTACACACTATTTGTTATGATCTAAGTTAAAAATTATTTTGTTCAATAAATGTGATATTCTCTCCATGAAAAGAAATACATTTATTCAGTTATAGATATCTTTCCCTACATTGTTCCCAGGTTCCCATCATTGTGTGTCCTCAGGTACATCAGTACGATGTACCTACGGACACGTTGTACACAAGCATACAATCTCACAAAGAACCTTATAGTTTTTATACGCTCTTAAAATTATTATTATTATTATTATTATTATTATTATTATTATTATTATTATTATTATTATTATTGCACGTAAATATGCTGAGATGTGTAGCATCCCAAAAAGAGGAACATCAACAATGTCATATACAAAAGATGAGGGGAAAATCAAAGCATTAAAAGTGTCCCCAGGTACAACCGTTTCCCCTACAAGTTTTCTCGAGTTCTGGGATCCCTACCTTTACTCATACGCAAGATAAATTATGAATTCAGGTTGAAACAAGCGTTTTTTTGGCAATAAATTATAAGAAAATATTCACTCCTGTGTAGCAACTATTTGCAAATGCCAATCAGCTATAGATTTTGACTATTGTCCCTGGTCATGCCCTTCGTATAGGAATAGACTTACGCCCACGAGAACGTGGAGAACGATTTCTTCAATAACTACAATTGAACTGCAGAAAACACGCACATATGGTGAAGCTACTTTTGTGACCAGAAGGAAAACAAAAGGCCCATCCCATCATTCGCTCAAATGATCAGGTTAAATGCACGAAAACCTCATATTCGCATGTTTTCGTCTGAATTTCCTAAAACTCTTCTTCAGTATTGGCATATCGTGTTAGAATACTTCCAAATGTATTCTCACACAATATATCATTGTTAAATAAGAGTAAACAACGTAAGCTGATACGTTAGTCACACGACAAAAGCTCTTTAACTGACGATGTGGATGGACGACTATTCAAGAACTGGGACGATGCTGCTAATAAGAGAACTGTGTTAGGGAAAGCACTTGGTCGTTTCTCTATCGCAAGGATCATCAAGCGCCGAAGCCACTTTCAGACTGGCTCACTCCTCTCAGGAAAGAAGACGTCCGGACATCTAGTACAGCTTCACTAGGAAAATGCTCGTACGTGGCAATTGATTTATTAATAAGATGTTTTTCAGCTTTCACCGGTCACTCTCACATCCTTCGGGGTGCAATGCTCCTTGCATCGCATTGAACACTTGGTACACGAATCGTGTTGTCTTTGTCCAGATTTGAAAGGAAGTGCCTCAAAGAAAAGGATTGTTCAACCTTAGCATCAGATATCCCCACCAAAGTCGGCATATGTTTTCCTTGGACGAAGAATAGAACACTTTACAACCGTAAATTTGTATGTACTTTTGATAGGTTGGTTGATCGATTATTTTGTGTTTTCGCCCGTGTAAACTGCTATGGTCAATATCCCCATAAGTGTAGTGCCTGTATTGTCACCGGAAGTGGCTGTGGTATTCCGGTGAGATCCGGCGCCGAACTACAGGTCGGCTTGGTGGTTTTCGCAAACTATCCTTTACCATTTAAAATGCCTCTATACATTGATGCGCGGTATAAATCGCCATTTCACTTCGCAGCCTCTCATTCTTCATTACACAAACACCGATGGCAAATCCCTATCAGCGAAATGTTATGCTTCGTACGCCACAACAGTAGTTATAACGCATAAGAGGACTTTACGTAAAGCAAAAAGTGCATTGATACTAACATGGACCCAGTAGTGGATCTAGGGGGGGCATGAGGACCACGATTTCTAGTATTCCATGAGTGAGTCAATGTTATGTATATCTATCACCGTTATCACTTTAAGAGCAAAAGTAACTTCGCTGAGGGTATTCAAACGCTCCCATAAAATAAGCAACAACTGCAAACACTTTCCGGTGATTACTTTCATAATGTAGATTTTTAACTAAGATCACAATACTTCAACAAAAAACTCATATTTCTATTATTTGATTGATAAATCTAGTGTGTGCCAGAGCAACGAATAATGAGTAATATTGCGTTTTTCCACTGGTCCACAGTGGATCTTCACCACAAAGGTTTATAGATGTCACAATTGAATATTGCTCATTGAATGTATCACAAAAATTGGTCATTTAAATTGTATTCTATTTCATAGAATTCACTGTTGGTTTTTTAATGAAAAGAACTTTCTCGTCATACTACAAACTTACGAATTAAAGAGTAAGTATTGTAATGCTGCTGCAGAAATCTGCCTTTTTTCCACAGAAACACTATGATTTTGGGGCCCTAGTGTTGAAAACGTATACAAATCTTATTCATATGTGTGGTAAATGACTGCCTCTAACACGTTGTGTAGTCAGAATTCACGTTTTGTGGGCCATTGAAACTCAAACGTTGGTTGACGGAAAAACGTCTTTCAGTCCGAGGTCAACGCCAAAATAGTTCAGATGATTTTCTTAAAAACTTATATTCCTGATTGATGTGATGTTAGTGGTTGAACGGTAAAGTGAATAGTGTTGCCAACATTGAGATCTAAAGTTCGAATCCCAGTGCAGATAAAACATTTTTGCAGGTTCATGTAGTATTATAATATTGCGTTACAAATAACGTGAGGAAGTATGTGCTGTTGTAGAACCACTAGTTTCAACTCCTTTACCACAGTTTATAACAGCAGAGTCAACAGCAAATGCGCATATAAAATTGTTGCAATTTTAACTATATTTTGTAATGACGGGATCAAATATTCAAATTCTTTTCTGAATACCTTTTAGTTGTAGCAGTATTGCATTACCTATCGATTAATCCTCGGATGAGTACTCAGAATCATTATGACGAAATGACCGAGATACATGACGAAGAACCCGAATAACACAACTTAATTATTGAAAATCAAACGTTTATTATAGAAATTAGGAGTATATTCATGTCCTCAGCAATGAGATGACGCTTTCGCCCGTTCCAGGAAAAGACGTCCTTACTATAGTGACCGAGATATCAAGAAGCCCAACCAAACTGGTTTTGCGGCTGTAAACACAGATGCTGATGAAAGTTGACTTTGATTTGTAAACAGCTTTTTTAACACCAGCATCACGATATCACTTCCTCCCATTATGTGATGTACATTTTTACCAACATAAGGTAAGTAAACTGCAATTACTTCATCAGAAGACATGTCAGAAGTACTCTTGAAGACATTCTCAAAAGTGATCGTGGTAGGGCACGTCATAAAAAACGCGGGAACGTGATACGAGCGTGTAGTATACATAGTTACAAATTATTAAGTAACACAATAAAAATAATATTGTATATTTCATTCATTCTTGTATAGTTGCTTGTGTACCTTCCTACCACTAATATCTATTAACACTATTTATTCCACAACTGTTTTTTTCCATTTCTTCACAATGGGATTGAAGGTGTGCGATAGCATTTTTCAGATTGTGAAGATGATAATTATTCTAGTTCGTAGTACATTTTCGATTGTAATCGTTTCCTGAGTACCCCCATGCTTAATTGAAAATGAATAGAAAATATGAAAATATAATGTTCTTTCGTGCTAGAACAGTATTTCACTCTTTGAAATCGATGTTTATGGTGCGCGTATATCCAATCTAAGGCAATGCTACGAATACCACATGACAGTCATTTTATAAACAAAATGTTACTTTCATTGACGTCAAAATGTTTAGAATGATCTACTAATATTTCAATAAGTGCTTCATTTTGATCCATTGTCGACACATCTGTAAAAAAAAGTATGACCCCGTAGATTTTCGTTTACCACATCTCTGTTGACAGAGTTGTTATTTGGAACTTTTGCTAATTTTGAAAATTCAGACAGTTCTACGAAAACGAAACTTGACTAATTTATTCACCGTGTTATGGTGTATTGGAAGGAAGGAAATCAAGGAATAAACTCGGAGCATATTTTTAGAAAAAAATATTAATTGCCGTAATTTCAAATAAACTACTAAATTTTCTCAAAATATTGTTCATGACATAATTTAAAGATTACATTTTTAGAACAGATTTTGTTGAAGAAAATCATCAACACTGTAGTTTAGAATTTTAATTGTTTGCAATTTTCAAAAATACAGTACTGACGGACAGACTTCAGCGCTCGTCGAGTGTTATCTGTTGATCAGATGTTGATAGTCCTCTCTGATTGCTTGCTGTTGTTTTTCATGCAGTCATTTTCCTTCGTTATGCATACAAATGTGTGTGAGAATTCAGACCACAATTATATTTTATGATTATTTTCATTTTTGTTGCTCTTGTTGCAATTGACGATACAGTTGCCGGTGAATGTGAACTAGAACTGACAAATCTTTCAAAATTAAGAATGTTCTCCCCATTTTGGTAACAATTTCCTGTGATTTTCACTTTCTCGCCGTACTTTGTAAGAAACGAGTATTGCTAGTGTGCACCTACAAACGTCGAATTTTCGACAGCAAAACTTTTACTGTTAGACTGAAAGTCAAAAACAACTGTAGATGCAAACTGTTGTGGTTTCCGCAAGCGTCCGATAGACGGTCGGACGTTTGCCGTCAATCGATGTTTCGATATCAATGGCACAAAAACATGAATTCTGATTATACAACGTGTTATAAGATGTATTTTACTACACACATATTATCTACTACTACGTCTATTATATAAGACCTCCACCCCAACATTCATCGCCTATGCCATCCCCATCCCCACATCCCAACATCACCTCTGCGTCCGCCATCTCGCACGGTGGCGCCACTGACTCCGACAAAAAGTTTTCTGGTCCATCGTCTTCCAGAGAGGTAGTCCTTCAAGAAGTAAGTTTCCCTATTTCCACTCGCGCCCTAGCCTTTCGGCGCGAGATCGTAAAGAGGCGCCAGTCCTACTATTTCCCGTGGGACTCCGCCGAAAAGAGTGGATGGAAAGGCATCTTCATTAGAAATATCTACCGGGACGCAAAGAACCAACGCAACTGCCATTCAAATACTCGAACAAGTTGAAGAAGCGATAAGGCGCGATTTAACGGGCGCGAGGAACGTCTCGTGAGATCGACATCAATATTCTTTGAGCAATACAGCGGCGGCGGCGACTTCTTATTTTGTGCACCACTTTTCGTGATTCCTCGCAGAAGAGAAGAGAGGTACGGGACAAAGGTGGGGAAACTTTTCACCACAGCCCTTTGAAAGCTGGGAGGGCAAAGGTCACGAACAATCGAAGAGCTAAGAAACTGTTTCAAAAGAAAAGCGATACAGGGAAATGGAGGAATGGAAAGATATGTTCGTTAGCATAACAGTCCATAATTTTCAGCAAAAAGTAATGATGAAAGAAGAGAAGCTGCGTATACAGTTTTAACAAGAATCACTTTTTGTAATTCGGTTGCTTGGCCTGTTACGTCAGTAGTGTTGGATCATTACACTGTGCACTATTGAAGATCAGCCTAGTACTAAAGAGGTGGGGCGTTAAAAACGCACGAAACGATGTAATAAAATATACCACGTAACATCCTAGTGTCACATAATTGACTTGTCCTCTACAGTCCTCAATTCAATTATCAGAATCGATTTTATTATCAATATAATTATCCAATTTTATTTTAAATATAGTTTATAGTTATCTACCGAACTAAAAATTTCATGACCTTCGAATTAAGGAGCGCACGCAAAATCTCAAAGAACTCTCTAGAAAGCATGGCAGGGATAATTCTAGTTAAAGGTGCCAATTTCAGTGTTCTCAAAACGAGAGTCATATTGTAAGTAGTTACCTTAAGAGCTCTCTACAGAGAAGAACTTTTTAAATATTTTAAATATTTAAATGAATTTTTTCTGATAGTTTTATTATGCTAAGGACACTATTTACCACCGAAGAGTTAAAAACAAACTTATATGAGTTTAAAATGAAACAGTAAAATAGTGAAAACAGTGCATTTATTACACACAATTCTAATTTTGATATTACAGTTTGAATGTCCTGTGTTCTTCAGAGCTCTGAAGGAGGCCACAGCAAGATGGTCGAAACATCAGCACAATTGACCGAGACGCGGCTGATAACGGATAGCGAAGAATGTATTGACTCCGGCCGCGGAAGCCTACGAACGTATAGTTCGTTTACTTCTCAGAATGCACACTTATTTTATTATATTTTTAATTATATTTAAAAAACGAGGGAAAGTTTGCGGAGCCATAAAAATTTAATTAGTATCATACAGCAGCAATATTACTACACCTGGTAGAGTAATGTGTCCTCTTTTTGACTACTGAATTATTACTTCATTAGTAATCATTTTTGATACAGTAGAGTTTGAGCTCGACCCTCTTCGCGACCAGCTCATCGCACCACATCAATCTCTCTCTCTTCTCATATTTTCATCCCAATATTTTGAAATGTGGCTCTTCTTATTTACTGGAAATGCCCCGTAGACCTCACCTGAGTCTGTCAGTGTTTAGTAGATAATATTGCCGAGACAATCTCTTTGACAGAAGGTCGGTTCGGCGGAGTGTACCCAAGTCTGGCATGATTACAAAGTGGTTTTAGAGGATGGTTCATGGTAGTTGGGTCTGTAGTACCACGCCACAACACACAACATTCATGTCGTAGGTAGAGAAAAACCTCGGTGGTGCCTGGGTAGCGAAACTGCTAGTGTAATCTTATGTAGCCCTGATGTAGCTGTCTCCAAACTATTAGACCGACAAACATTGGAAGGAATATTGATGAAAGGTGCTACACAGTGTTTGGGAAAACCTCGCCGTGCTATAACATCAAAAATCCGTACCCATGTCCAAGTCCCCTTGACACGAGGAAGTTAAGGCGCGAATGTAGGTCTGTAAGATCGCGGCTACACAGGTCGATCTCAATTTTGTCACTGTAATAACGAAAACAGAAGAAAACAAAACAGTATATATACCATTAAACCGTGTACAATTCACTCGGGAGATGAGTTTCTCGCTTGCACTCGTTCGAGATTTGACGTATCTCCCACGTTTATGAAACTAGTTTAATTCCACATTGTTTAAATAACTACTTCATATCGAAGTTGATCTCCTTCATTTTATAGAGAAAATGACGTAAATATGCATGTGCTTATTGATAATTATTAAGTTATTGTCGGCCAAATAACATATTCAAGTCATATTATACGAATTTTGAAAATCCTTTTTTCTGTTATTTCTTCTACGAGGTTTTCTGTTTCTATCTTTTTGGTAACAAACTTAAATTTTCTTACTTACACATCGTTTAAAAAATGTCTTTCACAGCATTGTTTTTTCTGGTATGAATGATGTCTTTTTATGAAATTTAATTATTTCATCTCATAGTAATTGTTAGAATTCTTCAAATCCGCATTACCAAAATTATTTGTCTTCCTTCAAAATCATCCAATTTTCAACACCCATATAGCAAAACACACTGAACATAGGTTTTGGTAATACTATAATTCAATTTTTTAAGCTGGTCAATTTCAAGTTTTCGAAATAGTAACTGTTCTGTACAGCAATGACAAAATATCGATAAAACTTCAACGGCAATAGTGTGGTTCATTTCAATATGTTAATATCTTAAGTAATTAATTACATACATATTTTTTCTAACATTTCGTAATATTTTTTTAAAAGTAATGACATCTGTCCTCTTCTTTAAAATATTTCAAGTGAATAAGTCATCAATCAATTCTTTCCTTTCGTCTAAGACTTCGTTTTTAACCATATTACATACTATATCAGTATCAGATTACAATAAATTACATTATTTTGTTAAAAATAGCGATCAACATATTTACGTACTAGCCACTGCAGCCATTTGATAAAGTTGAAGAAAAGAATGACATTTAATCATAAATTCCACCCAATTAAAATTTTCCCATCGCAGCGGACTTTCTTCTCCCTCGGGCGCACACGTATCTTCAAATTTCGCAGTGCTGTCTTCAGTTCGCCAGCCAGAACTTTCCTCGCCGACGCCGTACGACAGCCAAGCACGCGTCCGCGAGAGAGAGACCCAGCGAAGACGCAAACGATCGTTCCGCGACTTTTAAAGCGGATGGGCGCAAAGGCGGACAGGCAGGCGGGCGGGCGGGCCCGCAAGCCTGCGGGCGGGAGGGCGGGCGGAGAAAGAAGACCACCTGTGAAAAGATGCTTAGCGCCGCCCGCAAAGACGCATTCCGAGAAGGTTTGCCGCGTCACGCCGAGCGACACCACGCGGCGGCGCCGCGGGACTTCGCGCGTCGCGTGCCAAACGGGAGTCGCCTCCGGGGTGAATTTTAAAAATGTGGAGCAGCAGCTTGTAATCATCGAATTCTATGTAACTTTGAAAGTTTTCCAATATTTGACCACGCTGGCATTCGACTTATTGATTTCGACGGCGTCAACTGCTTAAATCATTCCCGTAAGTGTAAAGGTATGCTTTTTTATCGTGGGAGGTGGCAGTGATCTTCCCTAGCTTGATGAGAAGATCCGGAGCCGACCTACACGCCCGCTACCTGTGGGTTTTTTTCCCATCAACCAGTATTTCCCACCAGCAGGGCACTGCCCCAGGCAGGACAAGCTCCCGACTGGTCTGCTGGCAGTGTGTGGTAGTGTAGGGCCGTGTGTGAAAGTAAGAGGTGAGAATAGGACAAGGAAGAGAAAGGGAAGATCGCGCGCGGTCCGTAGTTCGTGGTTCGTTTGTTAGGGTTCAGCTTCGACATTCGTCAGGTGTTGATTTGAGAAACCACGGAAATCACCTATCAGAGCAGCCGGACGCTAGAAACCTCTTCCAGACAACGGCCTAATTCGACTTAGCTGTGAAACTAGTGTTAATAGTCCTGCCGCCATGGCATCTCCAGATCATAGGAACTGCAATGTCATCAACTGACGCCCTGAGCCACCTAAGTCGGTGAGATTTGCACCCAAGTACGCCGCTTTAGCTAGCAATTAGTATAAAACCTAAACAAAAGGCCTCATTCGGCATAACAACCTTCCCGAAGATCTGAAAAGGAAGTTGAATTTGCATATTTTTGGAAATTTAGATGTTTTAATGAATATTGAACGAGTTGGGGTAAATGAAGCATTAAAAAGTTAGCAGCTGAGAAAATTTTGTGTACTTAAATTGTTAAATTTGTTATTATAGCATTAAAACTATGGGCAAACCCCTAATTTTCAAAAAAATTGACATGACATTATTTAAATATCCAATTCTGAAAAACAGATTCACCAAGAAAACATTGCTTGAAATGAACGAGTAGTATGAAGGCACCGAATCTTTTTCAACTTTTGCAATTTTCGAAAATACAGAGAATTCAACGAAAATGGAACTTGCTCCATTTTTATAAGCGTACACTATCCAAAATAAAAGAAAAAATAGCCATTATTGAGAACATATTTGAAATATCTTTGAGGCATTCTGTACAGTGCACCTAAAAAGTAAAAGATTCGTTTCAAATTAGCAGGTCATTGCGTGCAGCTAAATCGATCCGGGAATACAAATCATTGAAAATGTAGATCGTTTATTCGCTGGTTTATTTCACGACACAATTTTTTTGTGGACCCACAACCTTGATTTTGCATCGAAAAAACGGCTCTTCGCTGCAGCAATACAGTAATGTATCCGTATTACGTAAAGTGTATGCGATGAAAAAAGGAAAACTATTAATTGAAAATATTATAAAATTTTAAATAAAATAATAGATAAAATATGTCTCAAATTAAATAATAGAAATAAAACAATAACAATAACAACAACAAACAACAACAACAACAACAATTATTATTATTATTATTATTATTATTATAAGAAGAAGAAGAAGAAGAAGAAGAAGTAGAAGAAGAAGAATAACAACCTTTTTTTCCTTTTGAACTCTGCGACCTCCTCTTTCACTGATACAAAATTCTTCTTTCCCCCCTCAGAGAAGAAGTAATCATGCACATTTTTAGTACTGATACATCCAAGTTCGTCGACTTTTAGCATGCGGTGTAACTAGTATCCCCCTATCTGCAGCTATTTTATGCAATCTTTATCATATGAAATGACTAGCCAAAAAGTTTCTTGATATTACTGTATTGCCAGCATTAAAAATATTTAAATCTAGCGGAGTCCAGCAGACGTTCTGCCCTCTCTCCCCCTCCTCCCGTCTCGCTCCCTCTCCCCCTCCTCCCGTCTCGCTCCCTCTCCCCCTCCTCCCGTCTCGCTCCCTCTCCCCCTCCTCCCGTCTCGCTCCCTCTCACCCTCCTCCCGTCTCGCTCCCTCTCACCCTCCACCCGTCTCGCTCCCTCTCACCCTCCTCCCGTCTCTCACACCCTCCTTCCGTCTCTCTCTCCCCCTCAGTCTCTCTCTCCCCCTCAGTCTCTCTCCCCCTCCGCCTCTCTCCCTCCGTCTTTCTCTCTTCATTTCTCTCTCCATCTCAGTCCGACTGTCTGTGTCACTCTCTGTCTCTCGCTCTCTCTGCCCCTCTCATACACATTTAGTTGCAGATTCTGCACGTCTCTGAGCAGGTGATGTAATATCGGGAAGCGCCGGACCAGCAAAAATGTAATAGAATGTTCAAGAAGATCTTATCCTGGACATTACTGTGTGAGAAACGTTTCTCTGATGTCTGTGGCGAAGCTCTGGTACCTTTGGTCGGACAATTTTAGTTTTTAATGTCATAGAACGTCGTTTAGGAGGTATTTAAAGAGAGTATAGAGTCAAAAATACTGCCATCTGTTGCAGGTTGTATATGTCATGAATATTTAGTTTTGGTCTTTTTTCGTAAAATTTTACCATATTTTAATAGTTATTCTATTTGGGCGGAGGTGAATCCAACAAATCAGAGATAATTAAAATTGGTCTTGTCGTTCTTAAGTTATAAATGGTGTAATTAACCCGACTTTGTTTTATTTATTTAGATTTGAATTTTAACATTTCGGTCATTAGTATTTCTAAAACATTCAACCAGTTCCTGTATTATACCTTAGTTTGAACTATTTGATGTTTCTTTGGCCTTCTTTCAACATGAAAAATATTTTCTTCGAGTGTCTGCTTCTGACCAGGATATTTCTTTCGGAATATTTTTTATTCGTTATTGGAGTTTTCTCTAATGACATCAAACTTTTATTCAGTTGGTCTAAGACTGGCACAGTGAAATTCGAACTGGTTGTTCCAGTAGATTTATCGGTGTTCGAGCTGACCATTGGTTTCTCTGCAATATTTTGTGAGCTAGGACCGTCCATTACATTGGCATTATTTGCTGGAACATTACTGGATCTCACAACGTCTGACATCAATAAAACTTTCTTGAGGTACTTCTTACAAATCCTGAAATTGGAAGACAACTCTTGTGTCATGTTTCGTTTAATGAGCATATTGAATGCCACATGTCAATTTTATTTCTTCTTGTACTAATCACATTGATTTTTGAGATTGAAGAGATATGTTCAAAAAGAATGTCTTGAGTGACTGAAATAACTCATTGTGATAACAGTCTACCACTAATGATGTAAAACCTCTAGAAAACACGTTTTACACTTACTGCTCATAGTGACACTCATCAAAGTCACACCAACAGAGGCGGGATGTCGGATCTTCTATGGGAGGGCAAGTTTAGGTGCTATTATAAACATGAAAATATTCGCTTATATTAATGCTTTAAGCTAATTATGCTAAAATCATTTAAGTCTCTCTAACTTTTTAAAAGTGTTCCCTCAGAACACTTTCTAAAAGTTTCAATCAATTCTGAACATCTGCGGTCAAAACGGTGTTCGATTTCACGTAGAATGACTCATATAGGAAATAGTTTAAATTTCATTCTGTAAATTATTATATTAAAAATCTACGTTAATTGTTATTTGTATTAAAACAAATTCACAGTCAATAACATATCATTCTCAATCGTTTAAAAAACTTATTTTCTTTGGGCTGTACATAGCCACCATACACTCCGCCTCCCAACCCACAAATCGTAGAGTCACCAAGGTTATAAGTAATAATATCGTAGCATTATCCCATTTTTCCCTACTTCTTTAAGTTTGAAAAAAAAATATTGGTATTTAAAACAGTAATTTTTTATTACAAATTTCTACTTCCCACTGTCTTCGAATAAAATAAGAATATAAATGATGCTCTCATTTGTATGCGCAGATTAGTCTCCTTGTTAGCTTTAAAATTTCATTAGGTTGCAAAGTTATATTGGAGTTATAAATTAGGTCATAGGTTCCCAAACTAATTTAGACTAGCGCCCGCGTTTCTAATAAAAATTATGAGCACACCTTGGAAACTTAATATCTTCTAGTGAAGAATCAGAGAAGATGCAGTGTGCCTGTCTGTCACATCCACAATTCTTCGTTCGCCAGTCTCTAAAATTTAAGAATCATATTATAATAAAATATGCATCATACTCTCCTTCAATAATTTCAGAGCTTAATTTCCCGAGAATTTAGACACATAGATATCATATATTCAGCTATCTAAATAACAAACATTATTCTTTACACTTGAAATAATATACTGACCCTTTTAATTCGACTACTTTCTGTAGTATAATAAATTAAAATTTGGGTTGACGTTTATTAAGAAACGTCCTTGGCAACGACTTAATTGGAAAGTCTTTCTTCGACATATAACACAATAAGAGTGTAAATAAATAGTTTCGAGCACTTCGCGTCGTTGGAAGACACGCACCTGAACACTCCTGATTTTTTTTTAAATACAAGAAAAGTTTCCCTGGCTTTCATTTGGTGTGCTAATGTCGAAAATTACCTCAATTTTTTCCATCACGTAAGAAGTTTTTGCGAAATTGATAACGATATTTTTGCCAAAAATACAATTTCAAAAGTAAGTCTGGCAATTTTGCATATACTATCTGGCAACAGTGGTTTTTATCCATGTAAATCTATGTAAAATAAAATTGATTCGTCTTGAGAAAAATTCGTATTTCAGAAATTTTATATTTTATAAATTGAAACGAATGAAAACCACTGGTGTCAGGTCGCACGATCCACCATTGGTAGAGAAAAAAAGTTTTTCCTTCAGTTCAAAATTTTTACATCAAATTCTAGCGCAGTTTGTAGAAGAAATTCACCAACATACTATTTAAGTGTTTTATTAAGATAACTTACATAAAACAGATGATTGACCAACAGAAGTATGTGTACTTGAAACGTTGAAATAAATTTTAAACCGAGATAAAATCAAAATAAAAACAAAATAGTTTCCATTGAAGTCCTTCTCTTTTTCCTTTGAAACTTATTTTATGTTCGATGGCAAACCTATTTTATGTTAAAATCAACAGAAGTCGCTGAGTACAGGGATGTTCTTGTCCCAACTTCCTCGATATTTGCGCTTTATATCTTTCATATCTTGAAGGAACTTATCACTCTGTTTTTTGTTGACACTAAATTTTTGGAGAAAGCCTACATGTGAGTAAAGGAAATATATTGTCTCTCCTGAAGCAACCCAACACTTGAAATTTGTCCATCATATTCATAACAACTGCTTTATAGTCAGGATGATCCCTGTAATTTTCCAAAAAATTACTGGCATCTTTGAAGTCATCACAAGCTTTTTTTCTTTCGTTATCACATTAGTTTCATTTTTTATTCTTCATAATTTTGCGAATATCTGGAGCGACAAATTTGGCGTTGGATAAACCTGGAAACCTTTTGCGCAGGTACGTGAAACAATCGCAATCTTTTGGAATAGCCTTGACAAACTGTTTAATTGTATATAATTTTATATGCAGAGCGAGTAACAATCCTTTTTTTGGCTCTAATAAGCTGTTTCGAAATACGTTCTTGGTACCTTGTTCACGTTTTTATCTGTTCGGCTTTTTTTTGGGGGGGGGAGGGCGAGTTTTGAGTCTTCACACATACTTTCTTGTTCACAGTCTACGTTTTTATTGATGCTAATTCAATTCTAATAAAGAAAAAAGGCGCTACACTGAGGATCAGTTTAATGTTAATAAATTAATGAAAAATTTGGAGCGGTTTCACCGTATTACAGCATCAACTATTTTTCTTCGATTTTGTCCATTGGAACCTTATTTCTAAGGGGCAAAATTTCGGCCACATTCGCGCGCTTTCGCCCCAGTGTACGACGCTTGGCGTTCCGACGCCCTTCCGTCAGTGTCCTCTCGTCGTCGGCTGCGGCGGGCGTTTCGTCAGGCTCAGACGCGACTAGGGCATAAAAGTTTGACGGCCTCCAGCGCCTGGAATTTCAACCAGGTTTCAATATTTTTCTTGGGGAATTTTTTTCATTGTGCGCGTGCTTTAGTACGTAAAAACGTATTCTCTTTTGTATTGCACAATACGTTTATGATTTATATATTCGTCATAAGAGTTATATTGAGATATTTCCATGAAAAGAAGCTGCAGTTCTGTTCCACGAGAAGAATATTGGATTACAGAAAAGGTGATTTGGCGTTTTCCAAAATCTATATTCCCTGGTCAATCTAGTTCAACTGGAGGCGCAGCGATTTTGAAAAACTCAAGGACATTCAACATTTTCAAAAAATTACTCCAATTTTTTTCTTTAAATTTCTTGTAAGAATGTAGTAAAATACACTTATAAGGTCCGGTCTCACCATAGAGTACGTGATTACTCTGGAGTAAACCATGTTTACTCGAGAGTAACTTCTTGTAGCGTTTCACCAACAATTGACTCTAGTGTAAATCGCTTACACGAGAGTAAATTGGAGAGTAATTTTAACAGGCGAAAATCCGTCCAACAAAGTACGAAGCAAGCTCATTTTTCATCGTGCATGTACCTCCGACGTCTTAAGGCCCGACTATTGTGAATGATGGTATTTGAAGATGAATATAGCGACGGTTCTCTATTGCGGAGAGAAAGACTGGTGCGGGAGAGAATGTTTTGGTTTTCCTATTGACGATAGAGATTTTGCACCGAGGTTATGTTTGATCAAATTATCAGCTCTTCTATTTGGAATGATTGAAGATGATTTAGAAAAAAGGATTTGCATACTAATTACGAAAGTATAAAAATAAATACAAGTAGTAGAATAATTTCACAAATAATGCTTTAACCACTCCTAAAGATGGCATAAGTCCGATTTTCCGACTTAACTTTAAATTTTCAAAAATTGCAAAAGTTTGAATTTTTTCGGAGACTTCCTACAACTACAAAATTGAAGATAGATTTTTTCATTCTGATGAAATTTATTGTCTATAATTAGTTCTTTCATTAAGGTAACGCCCATTTTTTTGAAACTTTTAGTAGTTATAACGCAATATTGCAAGCAATATGTCCAATTTTAAAAAAATAACAAACATAATATTTCCTCAATAACTGCTTCCATATTTTACTTTAAACTTCTGGGAGAGATAGTGCTAAATGCACTCTCTAAGACGACATATACGCCATATTGCTCTATTTTTTTTTTCAAAAATTAAAAAAATAATTTTCTGACTTGCCGCTCACGTCGTTAATATTTACAATAGCGGAAATTTGTGCACATTATTGCTTTTATGCGTACATGCGCTTTAAATTATTTCGTAGAAAGTTTCTCGAAAACTCAACAGTTTTCTGATAAAATGAGCTCGAAATTTTACATTTTCAGAAACGCTCAAACGCTATTTTCTCAAAAATTGCTCCAAATTTATTCTTCAATTTTTTACAACGGGTAGTGATTATTGCACTGTTAAAAATGACAAAGTTAATTTGGTGTATTCTTTTGATAAATTACACAAATGTAATTGGCTTGAAAGATCTCTCACACCGTTCATATTCATATTTCCAGCAATTTGAAATCACTATTGCATTTGCGAGTGAATGTACCTCAAATGACTTTAAATGAATGCTCCCAATGGAGCATGACTTATTACTCTAGTTGGGCACCGTTCATTACGTATATAAGTATAACTCTATAGAGTGAATTGCTGCAGCTGGGATCATTGATATTTCACCAAGGTGAGTACAATATTCTTCACGTAAAAGCTTACCTTCGGAGATAGAAAAAAGAAATTTCTTACAAAAGTAAACACATTTGAAAGAAAAACAAAACAAGTTTCGCTGACGAGAGAGGTTATTTTAACAATTAAACTGCACCTGATAATGGAGTATTTATGAATCGCATAAAGAACAAAACATACTACACAGCATTATCAAGTGCCAGTGAAGCAAACATCGTGTTGAACAAGTTGATCAATTTCTGATAACTGAAAATTTCTATCCATAACGAAACTAAATATTTCATAAAATGTATAATTTTTACGAAATTCTGGGTTGATTACGAAGCGAATGTCACATTTCGCAGCCTTGTAATATGTGCTATGATTCCCTCACAATTTTTTCATATTACCGATATTATTTGCTGATTGGATTCCGGACAACTCACAACATACTTTTTTTCAATCAGGAAATTTAATGCTGCAATGAGAAAAGTGTGAGGCAAAAACAAAAGTGTGAAAACTGCACCGTAACTAATACAAGTGAAAGTCGTGATATAAAATCAAACAATTACGTGGACACCTATGGATCAAATTACCGTGATCCAATAATTTCAGACCAAGATAATTTCAGTTTGGATTCGCCCATTATAAAAATAGTAGATAGAAAAATGTGTATCAATAATGTGAAAACTCTCTAGGAATATGGGTGCGCTTAATACGAAATAATTGTTTACATTAAACTGCATAAAATTGAAAATACAATTTAAATTTGAAGGGGGGGGGGGCATGTCACCCTCCTCTGGTTGGGCCAGTAGTCTCCAGTCTGGCCTCTTCTAGCCCTCTTGCCGCCAGCCCTTCCCGCGTGACGCCCCGTCCTTCTTAAATCAAACGGAGGATTATGAAACGTCTCGGCGACGCTGGAGTTTCGCGTGGCGTGGGCATTGTGTTCAATACGGCGTATCATCTCATAATAGCTTTACGGCCGTGGGGCGGCCCCGCCCGACGGCTTGCGGAAGAGGGGAAGGAAGAAGTGACGGCGGGGCGGGAGGGGGAGGAATGTAGTAAAACCCGGTGCGGTAAAACTCCAGGCGCGCGTGCCCAGCGAGTGCCTCGCCGGGTGGGGAGACGAGGGGCAGGCGGGGCGGCAGCGCAGCGAGCGCCCTCCAGACGCCGCGGCGCGAAGCTCGGCCGACCGCGCGCGAAGTCGCCTCGAACCCCGACCTTGCCGCGCACTCTCCCGGCCACGCAGCGAACCAGCCACAGCCACTTGCTCTCGAATATCTCGGCAAATACCTTCTTCAATATTTTGACGTTTAAATTCAAAACTTCCACTTTTTTTTTTTCTTTTCCTTTTTCAGTTCAACACTCTTGATGGCAGGAAGCGCAGGTTGAAGGGTACTCAAATACGCAAACTGCTAACTGTGGCCCTTTGTTAACGTAGTGCTCCTTCATTCGCCACGGAAACCCACCGATCAGAGCCGCTCTCTGCAAAAATTCTCCTCAGACAGAAGTTCAATTGGACATAGCCACCTACCTGGTGTTCTGAGCCATCCCAACCGCTAATGCTTCAGGAAAAATAGGCTAGATTTCGTTTTAAAAAAATGTTAGTGGAACCTGCCAGCGAATGATTGGTTGACAATTTCAAGTTGATCGTTAGTTTCGTAAGTGAGGAGATTGTTTTAACTCAGAAAGTGGCAGTGTTCCTCCCCACTGGAGGGTGAGATCCCACACGGCGGCTTGCGGAGGATTTCCCCCTGAGACGTCTCCCCAGCCATGACAAGCTTTAAAGTAACAAAGTTCCACAAATGCAATTTGCAATACCTTCAAAACCGACTTACTGAATAGGTACGGCAAAATAGACAGCACTTAAGTGACGTATTTCTTTAAGAAGATATTGCCAAAAGAAAGAAATGCCCATTCTTGTAGAACACATTCTCACCACACAGAAAGTTTTGCAAGTTTTCTTCTATTTGCTTTAACACACTCCTGCATCAATCTGGAGAAATAGGTACTGTAAATAATCACGACTGTAGGCGGATGACTGAATAATGAGTTAAGGAAACTCTGAAATGAATGTACTGGAAACGAACGTCAGATGTAATCGTGACATTCCAAAGGATCGTAGAAGAAAAAATCCGCCTCCGTACGAACTCGAACCCTATGACTTCCAGTTTAGAGTTGTTGCAGACAGTGGGAATGCCGGCCCTGAATTCAGCTGAGCCTCGCATATCAAAAAAGTTACTTTTCTTTCCTGGTATATTTTTTCCTCATTTCCTTTTCAAAACGCCTGGCCGTCCGATTATTCGACAGACCATCTTTATATGAACATTTCTTCAAAATGACGCACTCATAAGAAAAATCTGAAAAGCTTTTCCGGATACGTATAGATATCAACTATGTCTTATAACATTTTCAGAATTTTCTCTCGGAATAATTGTATAAAAAAATTTAAAAAATCGTATTTTTCTGATATCTTACAAAATAATCAGGCTTCCATTCTAAAATTTTGGGAAAAAGACTTTCAAAATAACACTAAACGAGCCCTCTATTCAAAATTGAATGAAGCGTGGGGGGCATTTACCTCCCTTATCCTGCTGCAGCCTTTTGCATTACAATTTGTAAAATATTTATCGCAATATGCTATTTTTCTTCTTGGAAATGTTTTTAGATCTCTCTATACTTTTCAGTAAATTAAATAATTAATTTAATTTAGCCTTTAAAATAAACGTTGGAAAATATTTTCAACAATGGAATATAAAATACATTCTCCTATTGTAACTAAAGAACAGAATTCATACGTTCAAATAATTTCGTCAATAAATACCCCGTAATATTTTAGTCCACGGTTGATGCACATTAATATTGCTTCGACTGTTTTATTTTCACGTTCTTGTAAACAAATTACATTGATTCCAAAGGATCAGGCGGTGCGAGGAGGAGTCTCAACTGTCGACACTCGCTAGTATGGGGAGTATGGGGTCGAATTCAATTTGTCGTTTGGAGATGGATCCTCGGGGGGGGGGGCTCTCCAATCAGTAATTATTCGGAGTTTCTTTGATCAATATGAGGAGAATTCTCGAACAATATCATAAAAACAGGCCCCATACCGCGCGCGATCTTTCCTTTTTCATCTTTAATATTCTCTCACCCACCCTGGTTCCAAAAGTGTATAGAAATTTCAGAAGTTGATTGGTATCAGCTCTTTTGAATATTCAATAAACAACTAAACCTGTAAAATGGGATTTTAAATGGACCTTCTGAGCCTGAAAGTGACAATGCACCTCAAGAGAAATTCTGAAATATTGCAATACTTCAGTGAATTTCCGCGGGGCTTTTGTTGGAGCGTCTCGACAGAATCTCCGACAGCCTGAACAACAGAGTTGGTAGTATCGCATTCCTAGGCCATTAAACGGATTAGAAGACACACAATTAGCCTGACGGAATACGAAATTTGTGTATTTCTCGAGTTTCAAGTAACTAAGTTTTAACAGGATCGCCACAATCACCCAATATCGCTAATCTTGGTGGCAATAATACTAAAGGAACAGGGAGCTAGGAGACGCGTTGCCACTATATTGACACAATTTTTTTTAAAAAAACGTGGTAGTTCTGCCACCTTGGAAACAAGCGATCTTGAGAAACGCCCAAAATTTCGTCGTTTCTCTAACGAATATTTAGTCCTCTAATTCGGCGACTTGGCGAGGGAAGCGAAACGATCTTCTCTGTCGATCAGTCTTTGTGGCAGATTCTGTTGCGACGCGCGAAGCAATGCCCCGTCGACATTCACTAGACCGTCACACAGGCTCGCAGGGTCATCATGAATCAAATTAAGAAGTCGAAGATATAGAATAATAAATGGAGCAATTTTGACAAGCTAAGATGTTCGTCACGGTTTGTGCATTGGCTTTCAAATTCTCATTCGTAGCGCCCTGATTGGAATCCCAACTCAGGTCTTATTTCTTTCCATGAAAGTTTCGAGAGAATAGAGCACAATACACTGGATACAATAACAGAAGGCCACTTTCATTTCAACTTTCGAAGTAAAAGATAATTCAAGATATTTTTTCAAACCTCACGCGCTTCCTTTAGTTAGATATATTTCAAGTAATACTTGAAGTGTTAGTTGGATAGAAGTCACAATATTCTAATATTATGATCTAATATGGTAGCTTTGTTGTTCTGTTCAGCTCAATAATATGAATATTGCGTTAAACACAACACCACATTCATTAAATTTGGTCCCATTTCATGGGGATTTCGCCAGAGACTTCAGCCGAGGAAGGAGTGAACTTTCGGACTGCCCCCTGCGATTTCCGACGCCTTGGGTTGCTGTTTTGTTTGCATAAGCCTAAATTAACTTCTGTCAACACAGTGACATCCACGACAGCCCCAACACGGGCAGCCGACGCTTCCAGTTAATGAAGTCGGCGTCTAGGAGTGTAAGGTTGCCGAAGCCAATTTCGTGGGGACTATGGCCAACTGTTTGCGAAGAAGCATTGCGTTGCCTCTCAGGAGAGCTGACAGGCAAGGAACCCATGCAAAAGGGTCTGGCCTCTCATCTGTCACGGCAATCATTTCTTTGCATCCTAATATACGATAATTCAGAGGTTAATTTGCACAGAACAACTCGAAGAATAAAATTGCAGAAATGGTATTAAGAACGACAATAATTATAATAATTAGTATTTATAAATTAATTAAAATTATAAATTATAACTAATTATAATAATTATAATTTAATTGTGTTCCTAACAGTTTTGAGAGTTCGTGAAAGTTTAGCAAACAAGAAAAATCTACTCGCTTTATACAACTTTCTACTCACCTCAATTGTTCTACTGAACTTTGTGAAGGTATCAGGAGGAAAATAAAATTTCCATAGATTTTTGTGGATACTGCAGGGGTATGGAAGTATCATAATACACCACAAGTGGAAGTATGAAACAGTTGCATCAAGTGGCGGTTTGTAAGGAATTTTATTGATGGTGCCAGTTAATGACGCGACAACGATAAAAAACATCGATCAAAAACCATCGATGTTTTAAAGCTGATTAATTTCCAACTTCACATTCGTGGGCAACAAAATTTAATTTTAAGTGACCGTGATAATTACTTTATAATGAAGATTGAACTGAAAACTAACTAAAAATAATAAGATCAAATGAAAATACTCAGCCTGAAAGCCTGCGCGCCCACAGTAATTTGAAGAAACCAGAGCTTCCCGAGTTCGACGAAGAAGGGTACAGAATGAAGAGGGGAGGTCTTACGCCCACAACGTACGCCGCCTCTCCAGGTGCGAAGTACAAGAACGTGCCAGGGTAATCGGGTCATCCCGAGCGAGACATAGATGGTCTGCTCAACGATAGTGCATACAACGTTGGTTTCAGTGTATAAACTATTAGTGGCATCATCAGTTCTTACTTCTATTTTTACTCCTACAAATTTCGATAATGAGAATTTTTCGTTCAAAAACAAAATATAGAAAGCTTACTGTAAAAACATCGAGCACAAACATCGGCTTAAATATATCAGTGTTTAAACAATCGATGTCACATCCCTGGTGCCAGAAAACACAGAAGTGCCAATGATATTAATCGCATTCGTATGGTTATCACCCTAACTTTTTCAGTGTATGTTACAAATAAATAT